GTTCTATTAATCTGAAATATTTAAATAAGTACAAAGCTTGGGACTCAAGAGCATAAAACTGGTGGGGCACAGCCCCCCGTGGTCACCCCACTTGTTGTGCCCCTGGTGACTGACAGGTGATGTTCCACTGGAGCACTGCTCATCTCTGTTAGATGTAGCTGAAGACTTTTCAAATGTGTTGTGAGTTATTAGTGATTAGAGCTGATTTGTTGTCAGACTGAATGACAGGAGAGGTTTTCTGATGGAAGCAGCTCAGCTCAGTCAGACCCGCTGTACTGTACATCTGTCTGCATGTCAGAGACAAGACATTTCATTTATGCAGCACTAACAGGGACATGGCATTTCTTATTTTGTGAATGTTTAGTTTTTAATAAGCTCCACTGTTTGTTTTAGCAGCCCGGGGTTATTGGGACTAGTTTTTCTGATCTCCGCTCTTCATCGTCAGCTCAGGTGGCGCCCTGCAGCACAATCAGCTGTGCGGTATGATCACCTGACCGGTGCTGAGGACAGGTAGAGAAGTCATTTGATATGGCATCGTTTGAAGCACAATGAATCCAGAAAAACATCAGCGCCCCAGAACCTGTCGCTCCTTGATGCCGCGCTCYCCCTGCGCAGATGAACCGCGCGCTTCAAACTGGTGGTTCACTGCCTGTGGGCCGGTTCATGGACTGGACCACCGGCCCTCTGACCTGCGCCTGGGTCAGTGGTGCATCTCGTGGGCCGAGGTGAGCCGCTGCTGAGAGATGCTGGAGGAAAAAAAAGCTGTCTCCCTCCTCCCACTCACACAGCTTGGAAGCACAAACAGCTGACGATGATGCAATCGTCCCGTCCTGCTCCTGGAGGAGAGGCGGGCAGTCAGAGAGCAGGTCTCGTTTTGATCAGSGGCGAATGACAAAACATTCAGGGCTAAAGCACCTGGCTCTATTTATTCACAGAAATATTAAATGTCATTCTGGGGTGGGGCCCCCAAAGCACCGGGCCCTGGGCTTGAGGCCCGTAAGCCCCTGTGAAAGTCCGGGGCAGACCTTTAGTGAGCAGAAACTCTGATGTATGAGAACATATTAAAGATGTGCAAACCTTCTTCAAAACCTTCATAGCAAATATCTTCCCAGCGCCTGCACCTGTCACTTTTCGAACCTGGAAGACCTGTGAAACAGGAAGAGGCTGTCAGTGTGACGTTCACCACAGTGTAGATACAAACTCACCATGACCTGACATAACACAAACATCAAATATACTCTATCAAATATTTTCAGGAAATAACAGTTTTATTGATGGAATGTGACTTAGATGTAAACACGTGAATATTTTAATATGTTATTATTTAATATATGTATCCCTGCCTCAGCTTAGACAGCAGCAGGTGTCGGTCTAATCTGCTCAGATTCAGKCYTCACTACATGGTGCTAACATTTACTCACAATGCTCATTTTTGAGCCAACACTATACTCTCTGACTCTTCAGGAGTGGAGAAGCTGGCTGGCTTCTGACAACTAGTGGCTGGAGGGGCTAAACTACTAAAAATCAACTGTTGCCATGCAAGTTTACATTTTAAAAATTAATTTAAAACTGATAGAGGACTGTAGAGAYCTGATACAGTATCAGGAAATGAAATGATGCCATATTTCTGTGTACTGATATTTTCTTATGCCCCTAGTAGGCGGGGCATGTCACTTGTTGCCATCGGTCTAAGATTAGAGATGTCTTCAGGCAGGACACAGAGGGCGTGGTGTCCCATTCTTCATGTGTTCATGGTTCCTCATCCTTCTCTCCTCTCCACAGGGACACATAGAGACAGACAACCTTTCACGCTCTCACTCACACCTAGGGACAATTAGAGTAACCAGTTAACCTGACAGTAACAGTCATATCTTTCACCTGTGGGAGGAAGCAGGAGTACCTGGAGAAAACTCACACATGCACAGAGAGAACATTCAAAATCTATCCAGAACTTTACCCAGGCCGGGATTCAATCCAGCGACTTTCTTGCTGAGAGGGATCAGCTCTACCACCTGAGCCACCAATACTTAGTAAACAGCAAACACCATACTGTTTAATCTGTTACCAATTTTATTTTTTTACTTTTATTTAATCCATCAGTTCAGTAACTCTGAGGCCTTTTGTGTAATCCTTGCATTTACATATTTGCATCATTAGCAACTGAATGTCTTTGCAACTTTCAGGTAGTTCATTAACAGGCAAGCAGAAGAGCAGTGACATGTTTTTTTTTCTATTTTTGTTGTTTGTCTTTCCTTTTTTAACTAATGTTCGTAAAAAAAGTAAAAAATAGATGATCCAAACTAATAATGATTTGATTTCTGTCTTTAGTCTCTCTTCTCTACATGTTTATTCTTATTATTTCTATCATGTTTTTTCTTTGTCTCTTCCAGAAGAAGGTGCACCTGGACCAGTCCTGGACCAGTTCTTCTGTGTTTGTCTGTGTCTCTTTCCTGTCCTCCAAGC